GGGAGAGGTGTTGGGTGGGAGGGAGGAATGGGCAGGAGCTGGCCAGCCCATCATGCTTACTCCCACTGATGATCCTGCCACTCCCAAGCCAGGTGTTGCCCTGATGTCACAGCAGCCCTCTGCCTGTTATAGTGACACAGGTGGCCCAGCGTGAGGACTCACCTCGAATCCGCCCCTCCTCTGTGGCCCCAGACAGGCCCTGCAGTCAGGAACCCACCTGCTTCTGCCCTCCAGTGCTCTCTCACTCTCTCTCGTGGGGCTTCTCCAGGATTGCATTCTCAGGAGGGGCCCAGAGGTGTGCCGGTTCTCCACCTTGTCCAGAACTGGAAGCAGGGATCCCAAATTCATAGATTTGTAAAAAAGAAAAAAATGTCCCTTCCTTTGCAGAAAATATGAGGTTACTTCAAACGTTCATGGAAAAAATACAGTTAAAAGGTAATATAGATCTTTACATGAACATTTTGAAGTGCCCTCGTACAGGTATGGTAATTTCCATTTGATTCGATCCTCTGCAGTGTGGGGTCTTTATGCTTAGAACCTGGAGCATTTTGATCCTCAAATGGATATTATCTTAAACAGACTTCGGGGGAGTAGTTATTGTTTTTCTATGAAGTCTGAAAAATGATGCAATAACTCTGTCCTCTACAAAGTGTTTTTTTAAAAAAAATTGAAACGTAATTGGTTATGCATATTTGTGGGGTACAGTGTTGAATATCAGTATCTGTGTACAATGCGTGATGATCGAATCAAAGTGTTTTTAATGTCATGGCAATCACACGAGTTTCTAAAGGGGTCTGAGTTTTGAAAGTTTTATCATCAATGGTGAATGCTTCATTCATGCCGCTGTCATACAGTTCTTGGAGGTGGAGTTTCTTGAAATTAATGTGGCATTTTTCCTAATTATCATAAATAAGAAATATAGAATATACTGAGCATAATTTCTAATGCTGTGTGTGTTACACGCAATGTGTTTATTGAGGATATAGCAGTAATGTTGAACCATCCTCAGCAATTAATTAGTGAATGCTTTGCTGAAACAAGGAATTAGGTTTGTAATAGTCTGTCAACTTTACTCTAAGATGGTGATATGAGTTCTCCTCGTCTGTGCCCTTCTCCTGGGTTCTGCATTGTGCCTCTCGCAAATAATTGTGGTAGTTCGACAGTTTGGTGCTTTTGCTTATTGCACGTGTAACTTTTCTGACAACATATCTTGAGAGCAGGAACTGTGAGTCATTTACTAGTGTATCCTCAGTATCTGGCATATAGTAGGGTCACTAAATATTTGTGATAGTAGTAAGCATTATGATCCCTGTTTTAAAGATGCTTATATTGGCATAGGAAGAAGAGTCAAATGGCTGGTGCATCACTTAGGAATTGTGTTCAGCTGTGAGTAGTAGAGCTGCATGAAGGTGGAGTCAACTACTGGTTCTAAAAGTTGGCTGCAATTGCAACCACCTGTGGACCTTTAAAAACCAGTGCCTGGGTTTCACCCTTAGAGATTCTGACTTAATTGGTCCAAATGTAGGCTGGGCGTTGGGATTTGTAAAAAGTCTCCAGATGATGCTAATGTGCAGCCTTTTCTGTCACATGAAAGTTTGGAGGTAAGCTTTTCAGGTTGGTTTGGGGATTACACAGATATCAGAGATCCAAGGTCCTTGTATCTTTCTGCTTCACCATCCCTAGGGTGTGGTGTTACACTTTCCTCTGTGTAACTGAGAGAGAAAAAAGAGAAAGAAAGAATTCACTCAAAGTACCATCAATGAGGCCTGGAGGGACTGCTGCTCATCAAGGGAGCAACCCCGATTCAAAATCAGCCTTTCTTTTTATTGACAAGGAAGTTTCACAAGAAAAATCAGTTGATTCAATCATCAAAGAAGGACATAAAAACAGGCAGTGTAAAACTAGTAACTGCAGTAAATTAACAATGTGACGTTCCAGAATGTAATTTGTAAAAAGCTAGGTCAATTCACCAACAAACAGCTTGTCCTTAGTAAACATTTTCTTTTCTACATACTTCCGACAGCGATTTCTTTAGCAGATGTAAACAGCATTCAAGCATATCTAAAGAACCATCAGTAGGTTAAATAGTCCATAGTCATTCAAGCCGGAATCAAACCAGCAACCTAAAACAGTCAAAGTACACAATCCCATCTCTAAACAGTGATTAGAATTGGTTAGATGGCTTTGCCAAACTTATCTGCTGACTTTCATCCCCCATTCAAGAGCTTTTTGGCTCATTCATGCATTACCTAAAAATCCTATTCTAAGGTCAAAGGAGAATCAAGATTTCTAACCCACTACAGTGTGGCGTGTCCTTATAGTTCAAGAGGGCTGTTGGAATTCCAGCCACCACATGTATCTTCTGAAAAGCAGTTGGGAGGAGGGAGGGAGTCTAATGCATCACTGTCTCCTAGCTAGAACTTAGTCAACTGACCATGTCTAGGTGAAAGGAAGGTTAGAAAATGTATTCTGACATAGTGGTTGTGCTGGGCTGAGAAGTAGGGTTCTCTTAATTTGAGAGAAAAGAAAAAAATAGATATTTGGTGGGTAGTCAGCTGTCTCTGCCACACCTGGTTTCAGACCCCATGTTAATCAGTGGCAGAGCAGAGGTTTCCATCCTGGTTTCATCCCAGTAATCTTTCTACTAGTCTCAGTAAAAATGAAACATGGATATTGGGAAACAGCTGGTGGACTCAGGCAATACATGTTTAGAAGATAAGAGAAGTTCTGGAAGGTAAGAGAAGTTCCTTTTCTTTCTCTTGGGCTTGCTGCATCAAAAGGAACTTATCTGCATGATAATAAAGTAGGATCATAGGAATTCATGAATCTAGAAATAAACAGATCACTGTATGTCACAAACAGGACACGCTTCAGTTCTTACTGACATTTTGTTAGCATTTGACACAGTTGATCACCCTCTTCTTTCTTAAACACTTGCTTTCTGTGCTTTGGTTTTCCTCCGACCTTTCCGCCTCGTATCTCTGTTCCTTTTGCTGTTTAGTGCTAGAGTCCCTCAAGTCTTGGTCCCAGGCCCACTCCTCCCTGTGTTCTTTCTGTACAATCTCATCCATGTCTGTGGCCTCAACAGCTGATTATTTCCAGATGATTTACAGATTTACATTTGTAGCTTAGACCTCCTCTGGGCTCCAGATCCATTCATCCAGCTGCTAATTGACATCTCTTGGAAGTGTTAGTGGTATCTCAAAGGCAACATTCCCAAACTGAATTCCTAGTCCATCAACTCTTGTCATAGTAACTCT